GCAGTCTCAAGCAATGAGGGAGCAAGTGCAAATGGATAATTACAGTCTTACAGGCAACAGAATAATAATTTTTAAAAAACCCAAAATACAACCAAAACAAAAAACAAGCTCCAAAACTCCAAAAGACCAACCCAGGCTCAGGACAGCCAGGCAGGGCTGGGAAGGGGACATGAGCCCCACGGGGGTTTAAACACACATATGGACCTTGCGATGAGGCCATGGTTACATGTTGTCCAGCAGCTCCTACAAGCCAAATCGTCCCCCCTGTCAGAGGAAGAACACTGATAAGGAATTTATCTTTCATCACATACAACTGGGCTGGGGGATCTCCTCCCTGGGTGTAAATCAGTGTTGTGCTTTCAGGGGTGATTTACACCGCTGGAGGCTTGTCCCTCTCCCCCCATAATAGGATGTGGCAGGATCGGAACACCCATTTCTGAGAAGGGGGGATGAAATTTGGGCAGCCAAATGTAGTAACATCATGGGGAGACCGAGGCTGTGGGGTGCCGTTCACACAGGACCTGGGGAAGGGCAGTGCTTTGGCCAGAGACAGAATAGTGGCCCGTGCATGATGGAGGGGACTCTTGTCTCCCCTTGGGGCTCAGGGCAGCAGCTGGTCCCCAACAGGAGGGACCAAGGGATGCACTAGATGCAGAGGAGGTCAGATGCTGCCAGGGGTGCAGGGAAGAAGCCACAGCCTTTTTTTGGGTGCAAAATGAAGTGGTTTGGGGCCTACTCCTTCTTTCTTCACCCCTCAGCCCCTTTCACCCTAGCAGCACGCTGACAAACTCCCACAGAGAGAGGAAAACCCTGGGATCCCTCCCCATGGATGTAGAACTTGAGATAAACCCACCCTGGCTCCAAAACAGGGAGATGCTTCTTGCCACCACCATGGGACCAAAAGCCAGCATGGTTCAAGGGACTTAAAAGCCATTACAAAAAAAAAAACCAAAACAAAACAAAACTGAAAAACCCCACCCAGTGCGGCACAGCACTTGCATCGCAAACAAATCCCTTCAACTTCTGCTTGGCTTTCCCTGCACAGTCACAGAAACAGTCGTGACGGGCCCAAGCCGGGGATTCAGGATCGAGAGCAGAGATGCTGCAAAGCTGCCAGTTTGCTGAGGGATGCACAGAGCCAAACGGTACCAGCCCCTCAGGATGCTCCCACTTCCAAGGCCAGATCGGGATTTCCTTCTTCACTTTAGCCCACCCCTAAGTGTATTTCAAGCTCTGGAAAAGCTAAAAGACTTTGGCAGCAATTTCAAGGGCTGACCCAGGAATTATCTGATAACAAAGCAAGGCCCTTCCTGAAATACCTCCTCCTCCTCTGTCTTTTTCTCTCCTTCTGTGTATTTATGCACAAATATGCCCATATTTATACACCCACATGCTATACTCTCATAATGCCAATCTAGAGATCTCTTTCTTTGTCTAGCTCAGCATTCAAACCTGTAGGACTTCGACACAAAACTTAGCTGCAAGGATTAGTTTTCCCAATAAAACACATTGACCCGTAAAGATGATTTTTTTCCTAGCAGCCCTAATCACTTGGTGGTGTCCAGCCAGTATATGAGCCTCACCCCATTGCCCTTAGCAGAGATTTTGGAAGATATTAAAGTGCTGATGGGTTGCTTGCAGGCTTGGGCATGTGGTTGGGTGTTGGAAGACAACCCGCACTGTAATCACCACTTTCCATCTCTCCAAAACCATGGCACAAAAGATAAAACTAAAATACATGTATTGTCTCCTCTGGGTGCCAACCCAGGAGCTCCTCTGCAGACCAGAGAGCTTCAGTCCTCCATCCCACGCCTGCAGAGAGGCAAACATCTCCACGGGAGGAGGAGAAGAACCAGACCACCTACATTAGGTGGCCCGATGAAATCTAACGTAGATTGTGGGACCCTTCCTTTCCCCAGTCCCTAATTTAGCATCCTCAGTCTGAGCCACTTTGCAGCTCATTTTTGCACTATTTCAGAGTCAAGGGGAGTTTTGGATGCTCAGCATCTCTGCAGAAACAGGCCCAGAATCTCTCAAATCAAATTCCTCAAGAAAAAAAAAATAAATCACAGTCTCCTCCTGAAAAACTGGTTCAAGATCACATCAGTGAGTCAGAAGCAAAGCTAGAAATAGCACTAGAGCTCCGACCTGCAGGCACAAATCCCATTAAAAGCTATAGGGGAACCATTCTTCTGTGCGGGGGAGAAACCTGGACCCTTCTGTTTTGTGCAGCCTGACGGATTGCTTCCAGCCACGGCCCCCTTTTTTGCCCTGAGCCAAACATCCAAGCGCTTATCCTGGTGTTTTCCCTATTTCCCAAACACAGTGCCAAGGGCAGCCCAGAGATGGTCTCCCAACAGGGCTCGTTTTCCCCAGGAACTTCTGCCTGGGTCAATGCAAAAGGTGCAGGAGCCGTCCTAAGGAAGGAACTGGTGGTGCTGGCCTCTGCCATGGGAATGGATGCCAGCTCACATTGGTGACAAGGGGAAGAATGTGGCCTCTTGCTCTTTGGTCCTGTCCATCCCTGTGATGTGGCCCTAAGGCAGCAAGGAACCCCCAGCTTGGTGTGTGGGTTTGGGTGTGTCTGATCCTGCTCATGGACCAGCTCTCACCTCCTGCCCAGCCTTGGAAAGCCCATGGGGACACCGTGCCCAAAACACCTCTCCCAAAAAACCCGTGCTCTTCCTCCTTACCAAACCACAACAGCACTCACACTCCCAAGATGCACCCAATACTTTGGCAAACGCTCCCCCGAAATCATCCGAAGTCCACAGGCATTAAACAACGGGACACTTTGCAAAGTCTCATTGAGTGCCAGCATCCTCCCCCAAAACCTGCAGCAACCTGCCCTCGGCACTTTCCCACACACCAGGGATGGGATCGCCCAGTGCTAGTGGCACCCATGGGTGGGTGGGCAGCATCCCAGTGCATCAGGCAGCTACCCCATGCAAGCTCACATCCCCATGGACCCACCATGAGCCAGATCAATGGAAGCTGGCTGGCTGACCACCCTGGGAATCATGCCCAAGGCAGCGACTCACGCCAGCCCCATCCCATTCGACAGGAGGAGCTTCAGAAGCAGAGATTTATTGCTTTCGGTTGAGTTGCTTCTTTTTGTGTGTGTTTAAGGTGTCAATGGGTTTCAAGGGGCTCCCATTTCAGAGCTGCAGCAGCAAAGAGGGAGGAGAGGGCTCCTAATATAATGAGACGTAAATAAAGACAGGCCGGGGGCCCCATGCTGTGTGGTGCTGAGCACCTTTGAGACCCAATGCATTGATGCTGCTGGTCCTCTGCACCAAGCAGAAGCCAGGACTCTCGTGCGCTAACCATGGACACTTGGTATTAATTATAGCCAGGCCTGAATCAAGCAATCAATAAAATAAAAATGAGGAGTGATTCCCCCTGGCTGAGTGGAGCCACATCAGCACGAGAGATGGATCCGGCCCTAAAGCAGCATTTTGAACCATTGCTGTAGAATACGCTAGCACCGTTTATTTTATTGTTATTAGTATGGTTTTCCTCTCTGAGCTCAGGAAGGTTCTGATTGACCTCCCTCGCACGCTCTGCAATGGGGTTCCCTCCTTGTGACCAAACTTCACCGCAGCGGTACAGCACTGGCCGTGCCCAAATTCAGCCCAAATTCACCCCAACTCAACAGGCTGCTAAACCCCATCCCGCACCCCAGGGAGTCTTTGCTCGACCACAATCTTGGAAGAGGTTTGCATCCTTCTCCTTCACCTGGCAGAGGAACAGGGCACCCGTCCCCATGGATTGTCAGCAATGGGGGGAAAAACACAAAGAAATCCAGACGGGGGTGGGGAAAGCAGACGAGATCCCCCTGGACCGACAGCTCCCACCAATCCCCAAATAACACTGGGAATGAAGACAAAGCAGAAACAACCTCAGGGTCTCTGCATCTCGACTCACCCCTCCTAAAAACCCTGGAAGAAGGCAAAGCAAAGGCTCAGAGGCGCCAGCTCGGATCCAGCCCACCCTCAGCATGTGCCCTCTCCACCATAAGGGAATAAACCGCCAGCCCTGAGGCTCTACATGGTTGAAAAGGATTTTTCCAGCCCAAAACGCACCCTTCCCTGGTGATCCCATGGGTGCCACAGGACAGGTCATCCTGCTCCAGCCCATGTCCCACCATCCCGGCACCCCTGAACTGGGAAGCCCCTGATGCCCCAAGTGCTCACATTTGCTGAGGATTTGGCCCTATAGTCGCTCTCTAAATATCTATATACACACACATGATAATTATATGGGAAACGGCTGAAAATTGCTGAACAAACAAGTCAGGAGAGCCAGTACCTGCTATTCCACCTGCTCCTCATGCCCTCTCTGATCCACCGTGGTTTCTGCTCATGGCACCAAGATTAATGACTAATTACTCGCCCCATAATGAGTGCAGGTGTTTAACTTTCAGCTCACCTTCCCTCGCTTGCGTTAGTTGGCTCTTGTGTCTGGATGCTCGGACACTCAGGCTTTGCCTTATTATCTATCAAACTGTTGTCAGCACATGCCTTCTCCATCCAGTTTTTAAATACAATGGAGATTTTTTAGCTCCCATGAATCTCCTTCGAGCCACCGGAGAATCTATAAACACTATAAACATGAATACTGTATAGTCTACTAAGAAAATATATATTTGTGTGTGTATTAAATATTCAGATTCATGCAACAAATATCCATGCAGCTGTACTGTATTACTGGTTAAATTTCACTGCAGTATAAATATATTATAGGCCACAGCATAGTTGCTCCAGTTTTATATATAGATATAAAAAAAGATGCTTTTTCCAACTCATTTTCAATGTGTCAGTGGAGGTGTCTTTGGTGATCCTGGAAATATTGGTGATGGAAGTGTCATCTAAATAAATAAATAAAATCCAAGCGCTTGATTTATTTACTCATCCCTCCCGATGCCTAGCATAGAAAATTTAAGACTTAATAAATAATGTGTCGTCATACTAATTATCCCTCCCCTGGGCCTCACACTGGCATACTGCAGTGGCTGAAACTATTGCAGCATGCAGCATTTTCAGTTATGAAACATGAGCCTGGGCAATGCGTTCGCACTTGGCATTCCCAGGGCGGAAACCCGAGCCTTCAAGCAATTCGGACACACGACTGCATCTTCCCTTCATTAAGCTCTGCCTGACCTTTCCCAGCCGTTCCCCACGCCTGGAAGCTGGCTGTCACCCAGCTCCACGGGACAGGGACAGGCGTTCGTGGTACCCTGGGATGGCCCGGAGCTGCCCCCCCGCATCCCCATCCCATTGCTCGAAATGCCCAACCGTTCCGTATCTTTGGAAACCCACAAGCCTGGGATGGGAGAAGGGAAACAAAATGGTTTGTTGGGTTTTTTTTTTGCACGAACGCTTATTCGGTGTGGAAATCAAAGGTTAAAAGTCACTTACACAGCTATTGCTTCCCATGCAGAACCAAATATACACCGTAGAAAATACTGTATTAACTACAATGCAGAGCAGCACTCAATATCTGCAATTGTTCCACTTCAGCTTTAAATACGTTACTAGATTTTAGCGACTAGACATCAGTTAGCATTTTGGTGATATTCACATAGTTTGTGTTAGCTAGGGTGCAATTGGCTGTCTTCAAGTTCTCCTCCCTAAAATCCTCATTGCTATTGTTTACGCCTTCCTGAATCTCCATATAATCAGACTTACTAATCGTAGAGGCACTTCTGCTTTTCTTTAGGTCAGGGGAAGAGGGGATCTTTGGGCAGCTGGTTACTTGCAAATATTGAGCCTGCTCCTCCCCCTCCGTCTCCCGGTGGTAGAAGTAATTGAAGTTAGACACTATGACGGGCACCGGTAAGGCAATCGTTAACACGCCAGCGATGGCACATAAGGAACCCACTATTTTCCCCCCGATGGTTGTGGGGACCATGTCTCCGTAGCCAACAGTCGTCATGGAAACCACGGCCCACCAGAAGGCATCGGGGATGCTCGGGAACTGGGACTCACTCTCGTCAGCCTCAGCAAAGTAGACGGCGCTGGAGAAGAGGATGACGCCGATGAAGAGGAAAAATATCAAGAGGCCCAGCTCCCGCATGCTGGCCTTGAGAGTCTGCCCCAGGATCTGCAGCCCCTTGGAGTGTCGGGAGAGTTTGAAGATCCTGAAGACCCGCACCAAGCGGATGACTCGAAGGATGGCCAAGGACATGGCTTGCTGGCCTTGCTGACCATCCTCCGGCTTCTCGGCCAGCTCCGTCCCTAAGGTGATGAAATAGGGAATGATGGCTACGATGTCTATAATGTTCATGATGTTGGTAAAAAAACCAGCCTTGCTGGGGCAGGCGAAAAACCTCACCAAGAACTCGAAGGAGAACCAGATGATGCAAAGTGTCTCCACGATGAAGAAGGGGTCTGTGAAAGAGGTGGACTGCTGGTACCCCATGCTGCTGTTGGAGTAGGGGGGATGGCTCAGCCCGCTGCCATGCATGTCTTCATTCTCATCCCGAAAAATGGGCAAAGTTTCCAGGCAAAAGCTGACGATGGAGATTAAAATCACCATGACGGAGACAATAGCTATAATCCTGGCAGGGCCTGAGCTCTCAGGGTACTCAAAGAGCAACCACACTTGTCTCTGAAACTCGTTCTCAGGCAAGGGTCTTTCCTCTTCTTTGATGTAGCCTTCATCCTCCCGAAACATCTCCATCGCTTCTTCCCCCAGTTCATAGAAACGAATCTCTTCCGAGAAGATATCTAAGGGCACATTAACCGGCCTCCGCAACCTCCCACCAGACTGGTAATAGTACAAAATCGCATCAAAGCTTGGTCTGTTCCGGTCAAAGAAATACTCATTCCGGAGTGGGTCAAAATATCTCATTCTCTTTTTAGGATCCCCTAGTAAGGTCTCTGGAAACTGGGCTAGTGTCTTGAGCTGTGTCTCAAAGCGCAGACCCGAAATATTAATGACTACCCTCTCGCAGCATTCATGGTCGGTCTCAGGGTTATACGTGTCCTGCGGGTGACCGGGAAGAGCTGCAGCTTCATCTGCAGGATCTCCAGTAGCAACTGTCATATTGGGCTTTAAAAGAAATCCTTATGCTAAACTCTTCCCAGTGCCCGGTGGTGGGATCGGATTCAGGGCAGGGCTACTATCCTGCAGAAGGACAGGTACGTAGGTTTGGAAGTGTCTCATGAAAAGGCGAAGGGATGATAAAAAAAAAGAGAAAATAAAAAAAAAAGAAAGAAAATTGCCCCTGCTGAGAAAGAGAGAGATGAAATAAAGTTGGGGGGAGGAGAGCAGCTCCCTTCACTAGCATGTCTATCCTCTTCCTCAGGGGGGTTAATTCGCCTTCTCTGGGACAGAGTTCAAAAACTCCCATCTAAACCCATTAGGTGGAAGAGAGAAAACACCTGAGGAACTGTCACCTATTGAAAACCAGCGTGGAAAAAACTGGCATTGGCAAACCAGAACTTTTTTTGGCTAACAATAAAAATTCCAATTTAAAAAAAAAAAATTAAAAAGAGGGAGGAAGGGAAGAGAAAGGAAGGAAGAAAAAATAACCCCATCCATCCCTAAAGTGGTGAGGGGACCCTGTGGGGTGCCGGGGAGAGGCAGACCAGGCTCAGCTCATTTCCAGGCATGCAGCTAAGGGTTAACATTTAACCGTGCAATCTCAGGCAATCTACCCTCTAGGAAAGCTCTAACTTCAGTTTTAAGTTCGACACCTTCCCGATCCTCCTGCTCTGGCCATAAAGCGGCAAGGCGACATGCTGCCCTCCCTGCCTGCAGCCAACCGGGCAAGCTTTGCGGCTGCCTGAATTTGGAGCCGCCGATGCCGATGCAAGCTGCCCCGCGGACCACTGCAGTCCCCCTCCTCGACCGCTGGTGTCCCGGCTCCTGTCATTCTCTGCAAACCACCATGGCACACAGAAAACAAATCACATTACCTGGAGAAGCCAAATCTTAGTGTCTCTTAGTAACACCGATTATCTGACCCTGGGGAAATCCTAGAGAGAAATACAGGCTTCCAAGATCCCCATAATTTCCTCTCTCTTCAAAGTTAAAAATAATGGTGAGTCATCGTAGAAAAAGGAGAAGGGACATAAAAGGGGTTAGATTCCCAGATGGTGGAAGTCAGGTCTTGTAATGGTTTGGACTGGAGAGAGAGAGAAAGAGAGACAGAGAGACAGAGAGACAGAGTCTTCTCGGTAGCTGTTGCAGATCTGCACTTCAGGGCAGATGAGCGTCTGTCTGATGCCTTCGGTACGACGGTGAAAAGATGCTAAGCTCAGCAAAACCCGATGTCCCCAGTGTCCTCGGGAGGTGTGGCATCGCCTGGAAAAAACACCAAGAAGGTAGCAAGCTGCTGGGGGCTCGAAAGGAGCATCTGCAAAGCCCCGGCTCCTCCAGGCACCCCCTTTTTCCTCCCCGTGAGCTGTTTGCCCGCTGCCTGGCCAACCTGCACTGCAACACGAGAGGAGGGCGAGAGTGCGCTAGCGGCAAGGCGGAAAAAACCAGAGCCCCATCTCCCTCCGCTCTCGCTCAACGCCACGGCGTGCAGCAGGGCCGGGCTGCCCGTGGGAGCTGGTGCCAGGCGAAGGGGAGGAGGGGGGGGGAACAACGACGCAGCCCCCCTCAGCCGCTGAGGCTCTGCAAAGCCACGGTGGGTTCCCACCACCGCCGAGCAGCCGGGAGTCGGTGGTACCCACGGGGTGCAGCACTCACACGCCATCGCGGCACATTCCCGGGTGATTCGGGAGGCTCTAGCTTTATCCGTGAGACTGACCCCCCCCCCCCATCGGTCCCTGTTTGTGTCCCCCCCCCAAAGGCCACCTGCCCCTTAGATAGCCCTGAGGAGCCCCAAGCATCGTGGGCCCGACCATGGGACCCACGCGACCTGCACCCACCCTCCCCATCCTCTGAAAAGCCAACCCCCCCGCCGACCCACCCCCCCCCCCAGGGGAATCCCACCCCGGTGGGCAAAATTTCTCATGGGGATGTTGAGGCTCTGGTTCCCGGTCGATGCCGAGTAGGCAGCATCCCTGCTCCTAACGAGCGCTCATTTACATCATCCCGCACTGCCTCACACCATGGAGATGCTCAACCCGGAGAGGTCCAACCAACCTCTCATTTTTTCTTTATTTTTTTTCCCTCCCAAAGAAAAAACAAAAAAATCAAAAAACCTCTAACCTCCCTTCTTCAGCTCCAACTCGACTTGTCTACTTTGAGCCAGGATTACAGAACCGGGTAGGGGAGGCAGGTGGAAAATAACCCCGCGGTCCCAACCTCCTTGGCAAAGATTTCAGCCGTCTCCAGGCCATTTATGCCTGTTGGTTCCTCTCCTCATCACCCGGGGTGCAGATATTGCCGCAGATCCCTCTTTTCTTGGAAATTTCCCTTTTCCGTGCAACCCTCCTCTCCCTTCTCCTTATGCACTAGAAAAAATAGTACAACCCTGACAAGGCTTGCAGCATTCAACCGCTTCGCTTAACCCTTTTCTGCCAGGCCCACAGGAGAGGAGGTTGCATCTGTCCCAGTTTTTCTCCTTTTCCTGCATTTTCTCCCCACCGCTCGCTCCCCAGCGACTCGCTCAGGAGTTCGGCTTGATTTGACCTTCCCTGGCTCATCCGAGCATCACGCTAAAACACCACAAACACCATCTTTCTGCTGCTGCAAAAAATATCTGGCAGCCACAACCCCCCATTTCACCAAAAATCAACCAACCTTGATTTTTTTTTTCTGAATACAGTTTTTCTCTTGCCTGTAAACTCTCTCCTCCCCTTTCTCCCTTCCCCAAACACCCCAGGTTTGTTTAACAGCACAGAAATTTACTTATTTTTTTTAACATGTTGATTTTTATTTGGCGTGAGGTCTAGGCTCCTTTTTCTGAGTCCAAATCCAAGCAGTAGTGTTTGGTGCTTATCAGAGATGGTTATGGCATCATCTGAGTTGACATCACACATCCCAACACTCAGTTTCTCCTACTTTCTCCCCATCGCATGCTTTCCTGGCAAACAACACCCCCCCCAAGCATCTTCGGGGTTAATTCATGCAAATTTGGGGGTTGGGGGGGAGCATGGAGGAGGTGAAGAAGAAGATTTGCCCAGAGACCCTCAATTTTCTCCCTGCCTGCACAGACCACCCCAGGCAGGAGCCATGCCTATATTTCAGAGGGGCGAGATTTCAGGTTGCACACCTCGAGGACAAGGTCGTGTTTGCAAATTAAACCACGAATCCCTCCATTTGCACAGTTTATGGTCAGGCTGTATTTAAGCAGGGCAGCGGTGGGGAGAGGGGGGGAAAGGATGCAAGGTGAGGGGGGGAGAGAAAAAGGCACCAACTTACAATTGGCTCTGCAGTCAGGCATGCGGCGAATGCACAAGCAGCCGCTCTGCTCCGCGCCGCTGCCGGCACCTCTCACCTACGGCCCCCAAAACTCGTACCCCGGTAGTCAACCTCCAAAGGCAGCAGAGCTTCTCCATGAATATTCATAAGATTAATATGAGCATCTTCCCCCCCCGCCCCCCCGCCTCCCTCCCCCCAAGCAAGAGACCTAGATTTCAACCACTGGGAAATAATCATATCCCTGGATACGTGATGCTGCTTTACCGTGCGGCTCTGATCCATACCATATTCTTGGTAATAGCCTGGATCTGCTTGGGGAGATCTGGGGGGTGGAGAACCACCAGCTCCGCGCAGCTTTAGGGAAGGAGATGGGGCAGGATGGGACTCGCAGGGACCACACTGCTCTGCTCTTGGCTGGGGTGAGGATGTAAAAAGCAGTAATTTTATATTACTTTACATTTACAGACCTCCCTTCACATGGAGGCATCTCCCACCCCCAAAGGAGGGACATGACCAAGCTCATACCAATGTGGCATATAAGACCTACGGATCAACCTCTGCCTTAGGGCATGAGGGAGATGCATCTGCTTGGACCACTCTGACATTACCCCACGGCCCCACGAAGAACATCGGGGCAGCAACAAGTCCTGCAAGGTGCCTGGCACCCAGCAGACATGAGCGCCGGAGGTGGCAATGTAAAATATTTCTATTCCCATACACAGTGGTCAAATTTGCAAGAAGCCATCGGTGCCGCCAGTGATCGCCCCAGGGACAACAACCCAAGGTGGGATGGGAGGGCATGGACCACCCTGAATACCCAAGAAAATCAGTGCTTAGTGTAATGCCCAGCCAGCCAGGAGGATCTGGGTACATGGTAGGGCTAAACTGTATTATTTTAGCTCCCCGAGGTGCCAGGAGCAGCAGGTGGCACAGAGACAGAGACTGGGTGCAGCATGGGGTGGGAGTATGGGGGATGCTATCACCCACTGCTCCTCCCAATACCCCTCTTGGTCTTGAAACAAAAATATATTTCCCCAAGCCCTAGCCAGATCCCAATATTGAAAATGAATTTCTAGCCCTACGGCAAAATTGGGAATCCTTCTCTCCCTGCCACGAACAGCCCTTGCACGTATGGGTTTTCTTACTGCCTGCATCCAGCTGATATGAGGCTACTCTGGACGAGGGTTTTTTAATGTCATCTGCATCATTTTAGCCTTTTCTGAAGGCAGATCTGCCATAGCGGGGTAGGTTGAATCCAGAAAATGATTTGCCTGAGGCTAATCCTTATGCAATATGCAGAAACTGAGGCCGGGCAGAGAACAATTCAAGTGAAGCTGAATCTCTAAGTTGTTATTCCTGCTGCCGCCTTGTGAAGGTTTTACAAAACCAGGGGGATTTTTCATATAAACAGCACCAACTCCTTACCAACAGCCAAAATCCCATCTCTAGCAAATCAGGGGAATTTCTCTGAATTGAGTGACACTCTCCTGATTCACTATCCTAATTGTGGAGCTATTATTATAGTCTGTGTGTCGGCACTCGCCTCCCTCAGCCACGCTGACAACTCCAGACGTAACCCAGCCTTTCAGAGAACTAGACGAGCTGATGCACTGCACCCACTTGTCTGTTTTACATGGATTTAACCAGCCGACGTCTTTGCATCAATATTATAATTAAAAAATAAGTCCCTTCTTGATTAGTTCTCTTATCTAAATGGACTTTATAATAGTCACCCAGACTAGAAGCCTTACCCCATCTGTGTGTGTGGCCCTG